CCCTTTTAAGCCTCTAATGAAATATCTAATGAAATAATTAATGAAATGTTGAGTGAGGTATCTAATGAAATGTTTAAAAACTAATTAAACCTGTGATTTAAAAATTTAATTAAATTCAAGATAGAGTCATATCTGTAGCTCTTTAAATTGGAAATAAAAAAGGAAGGAAAAAACTAAATTTAAGTTTTCGAGGGAAAATCCATCGAAAGATAGGCTTTTGCGTAACATTTTCATTTTTTTATCAATTTATCAAAAGATATTGAATTATATTGAATATGTTTTATACAAACTTGTAATATATTTTATATAAACATAATAAACATATAATTCACAACTTGACTTATCAGCAGATTGTCGACTACTCACATTATATAAAAGCAAAATGAAGAAAGAATTTATTTAAAAATTTCCTGAGTCTCGATAAAATTGTATGAAAATTCCCAAAGTCTTATAATTTTCAAAAATTCCTAATTCTAGAAAATTCTTAATTTTGAAAAAAATTCTTAATTTTCAAAAATTCTTAATTTTAGAAAATTTTTAATATTAAAGAAATTTTAATTTTTAAAAGTTCTTAATACTAAAAAAAATTCTTAATTATTTTTTTCAATATTTCAAATATTAATCCTCCCTTTTAATCCTCTAATAAAATATCTAATGAAATAACTAATAAAATGTTGAGTGAGGTATCTAATGAAATGTTTAAAAACTAATTAAACCTAATTTAAAAATTTAATTAAATTCAAGATAGAGTCATATCTGTGGCTCTTTAAATTGAAAATAAAAAAAGGAAGGAAAAAACTAAATTTAAGTTTTCGAGGGAAAATCCATCGAAAGATAAAGGCTTTTGCTAACGTTAAAAAATTATTGTACTCGTACGCTATTATGGTAATATGAGAATAAATTGCGAAAGTTGGTTCAATTTCTAACAGAGCAGTATAATGAATAATAGAAGGTAACGTGGCACTAAAGTGGGACGTTGTTGCGAATGTAACAAAAGGACGCCAATAATGAATCGGTGGATTGTCAGTAAAGGATCTCCCGGAAGCTTCTCTCTCTCTTTCGAACGTGCTTAATGAGGATTGAATTCATTACCTGACAGCGGCTAGTATCAATTAATGAAAGAAAAGCTCCGCAGGCCATTTTTTTGCAGGCAGACTGACGACTCGAGAAAATGATCTCTCGCTTTGTTTCAGTAGACAGTCATAATTGAAGGCGGAAAATTTCAAACGCGCCTGTATCAGAAAACTGTTTTTTTTCCATTAACATTGGAAAAACGCTTGTCTCCGAGCTTTTAATTGTTTGCGAGCATCGTTGATACAAAATGCCACACGTTTATGACGTATAACCATGCATATTCTTGAGTAATTCTACGTGTCCACGAAATTCGGGAAAGCGATGATATTCCCTCGGTAGCAATAAATTCGGCAACGATATCCTGCATAAATATTGCAACTGCTCTGGAGGGACACTTAGACTTACTTACTTAACGATAAATGCATTCCATTGAAAATGCAAGATATGACGGAATTCTGACGAAACAAAGCGAATATCGGAAAGCGTAGACCTTTGAGTCATCGGGTGATAAAAGCAAGGAGGGAAAAAAATTTTTTTAAAGTAAAGGGAAAATCTACAAAAAAGATTATCATAAGATTAATTAAGATTAATTCGCTAAAAGTCCTTATTTTATTCAACATTTGATAATCATTGATAAACATTTGATAATCATTGATATTTTTGTTTCATAGAAAAAAATGGATTTCAAATCAGCCAAAAAAATTTTTGCACAGTACAAGAATAATTTCGAGACAACATGTGTATAGAATACACATTTTTTTATGCAAATTTATATATAATTTAAAATTAATACACAACAAATTAAAAAGTTACGAAATATAGCAAAATATTTTCTTATGTTTTTAATTTGTTATGAACAATAGTTACGCAAAATTGCAGCTATTTTAAAAAACTAAAAGATAAAAAACTAAAACTAAAACTAAAACTAAAACTAAAACATAAAAAACTAAAACTAAAAAAGATAATAATGAAAATAAACGCACAAAATTGCAAAATTTGAAAAAAAAAGTAGAACTTTATATCTTTAGTCAGTTATTTCTGTTATATAATGTAAGTTATATATTATGGATTGTATAGATATAAATATATTATTACAATTAATGTGTAAAATAATAATAAGTAATTATAATTTTCAAAATAATAATTTATTCTGATGTTAAATTAAATTCTACTTGAAATATTTAGTTAATTTTACGAATGAAAAATATTTTAAATGTTTTAAATATATATTTCACTAAAAATTTCAAATGATCAAAGTAATTATTTGTCTCATTATATAGGCAATAAAATATTTTATCTGATATTATTTCTGCAAATTTGTGTTCTCATTCTATTTTTCATGATTTGCGATTTTCTGTTTTTATTATTTATGATTTCTATTAAATTAGACTTTTATTTAAATTTATATTAAATAAATAAATAAAATAAACAATAACTTAATAAATTACTTTTAAAATAAATGTAAACTTGTGTTCTGACTTTTTATCTCTAGTTATTTTTCGTACTGTAATATTTGAAAACATAACAAATACATAATGCAAGTGTCTGAAAATATCTCTCTCAAGTATTACATATTTTTAAAAGAAATTTCTGACATTTTTTTTAAATTCTCCTTTGAATAATTTTAATTATTGCACTTTAAATAAATATTTCTTATAAATTTGTACTAATCATCCATATAAAAAAATGGATTTTTAAATATTTTATTAAAAACTATTTAAATAGTTATTTTCAATAGTACATTTTTTTTAAAATACTCTTACTTTAAATTACTCTTTAAAATACTCTTTAAATTACTCTTTAAAATACTCTTACTTTAAATTACTAGAAAAATGTCTAACCTAACCAAATTGAAAAAGTATATACATATATTTATCATAAAGTGATAATGAGTAGCTTATGACACTTTTAGGACATTAGATAAACCGCATTACTCAGAATTCGTGTTGATAAGAAATAATAGTATTCCTTTTTAGTCCTTTTCTATTTCGATATCTTTAACAATAAAATTCAGCGCTCTGTTTAATTCGTTCTTTATGTTCTACTTATACTGATTATTATAAAAACTATAATTTTTGGATATAGTATTATTTTTAGTCCAAAAGACAAATATAATTTATAATTACTTACATTATATAATATTTATATATAAATTTATAAATAAATTAAATTTACATGTAAATATTAAATAATAATAATGTAAATAATTATAAATTATATTTACTTTCTATTTTTAATTTATACATAAATTATTATAAATGTTTATAATTATTATTATATAATTTACTTATAAATACCATCTCGGATCAATTAAAGATTCTTAATGGAAAAGTCGCAAAATTAATATGAAAAATGGAGATATTATTTTCTATCGAATTTCTCGAGCGAGATACAACATGTACACCCAGTTTAGTTTTACTCAGCAAAAATTAAAAGAGTTATTCGATATTATTGAAACCTCGGAACATATTTCAAATTACATTTATCGCGCTGCGAGAAAATAAATCTACGAGCAGAGATTGGCTGGATAGACTTCTCTCATTCTGCAAAAGTCTATTGTGCTTCAATTTATCCGCGTTCAAGGCCGATCTTCTCCGCGCATCGCCATCGATCACGACGACGCAATGCAATTATCGTGTCGTCGCATTTTTCGCGTCCTTCCAACCAACAGCCCGACAAGGATCCCCGTCGTCCTTTGACGTACGAGGGTGTACGAAGCATTTTCCGCCGGGTGGAAACTATTTTTAGATCACCGGAGAGCTCTCCATTTGGCTCGACAGCACTTCCAACGCGGAGAGAGGAAGCTAAGGGAAGCGGTAAGTAACTGGAATGTACGCGGCCATCCCGTATAAATCCCGCGAGTGCAATCCTGTAGCGGTAGTCCATTATAGGGTGGAACAAATCCCGGGATAACTAGGGTTGCACAAGACCCAAGACAATATTCGTAAAAATATTGTATTGAAAATTTGGAAAAATTTAAATCTTGTCTTAGTCTTGAGTGAATATTGGTAACAAAAATCTCGTCTTGTATTGTCTTGTCTCGATTTTATTAACAATTTTTTATCTAATGTTAAAAATTATTTAAATAATATTTAATATAATTTTTGTAATATAATTTGAAATAATTATTACTACTGTATTATATTTTAATTATAATTATTACTATGTAATCGATATAAATGTCATCTATTTACTTAAAAAAACATTTACTGTTTCATGGAAAACAGAAATTAATAACTATTTACAGGCTCCAAGGGAATGTGCAGATATAAATATTTTGGAGTGGTAAAAAAATCAGGTTTATATTTATCTCACATTGTCAAAAATGGCTCGAGACATTTTAAGTTCAACTGCCTCGTCCGTGCCAGAAAGACTTTTCTCAATAGGAACTCTGACTATGTTAAAAAATAAAACCAGATTACGAAGTAAATCTTTAAAAGCACCAATGTGCATCAATTCCTGGGTGAAATGCTCTTTAATGTCTAAAATTTGCGAGTTTGATTTCTAATTTATAAAAATGTTATATTGTATTAATATTAAATGTTTTTAAATTTATTAATATAAATGTTTTTATTGAATAAAATTTTTTTAAATTCGTATATAGTGATTTTTTTCATTTACAAATATAAATATTTTAGTTTTTTTGAGAATCAATAATCTTGACAGTCTTGGTATTGTCTTGATAACTAATTAAAAATCTTGTCTTGAATTTTAAGACAAGATCAAGACAAGATTTTTAATTAGTTATCAAGACAATACCAAGACTAAGACTATCAAGATTAGTCTTGTCAAGATTATTGATTCTCAAAAAAACTAAAATATTTATATTTGTGAATGAAAAAAATGCGTGTAATTTTTAAATATAGAATTTTTAAATAGAAGATCTAGGGAAGAGTTGATAACGTTAAATGTGATGAAAAACTTACCTTACGTTTATTTCCGCCTTTTATTTTTGCGGTTTCTCACGCGTCTCTCCTTCGAAAACTTCGTTTTCCCGACTTTTCAATGATGTAGTGATCTAGAACAGAGGCCAATAACAGATAAAAGATTAGATTAGATTAGATTAAAAGCGGCAGGAACATGTTATATATCGCAATCTTTACATATGTATAGTAGTTGAATAGAAAGATGTGTCTCGCGTACACAAGTTTCGATAACGCGAAGCTGTAGTCGAGTGGATTTGTGATTTATCAGTTAAATCTCAAATCTGATTTTTCTGCAGCGAGTTTTTCTATCTAAATACACAATAAATATATAAAAATGCGATGCAGCAAAAAAGGATTTTCAAATCATTATAAATAAAATATCAAAATCTCTGTATATTTTAAATAAATAGTTTATATATAACTATAGATTACGACTTTGATATCTTCTGAAAGATAAAGATAAATAAGCGAACAGAGAGATATTTTAGAGTGAACAAGATTTCAAGAGAGAACATTGTCTCTATATAAAATATTTAATACTTTAAAAAAAAACAGCAACTTTTATATTTTTTATTAGAACTTTTTAATGGGTCGAAATATGATCATCTAAAAATATGCATTAAAAAGTTTGATTTATTTAGATACTTTTTTATTTTTTTTATATTTTTCATAAAATCTGTAGTTTTTGAGAAAAAAAAAATAAAATATACTATCGTGCACAATACGATGCTAAATAGGATATGTTTCGAATTACGAGAAGTTAAATTTTAAAATAAAAATAAAATTAGAGTAAATATTGGGAAAATTGGAATAAAAACAAAATTATAATAAAAACCTAAAAAATAAAAACCTAATTTTTACCCCGATTTTTGGAGGAGTGTAATTCCACAGAGTGAAATGGGAGTAGGAGTATATGTTTATATGAAAACCTCCCCTTAATTTTCGACAAAGAATCATCTCCTAAAATTTTTCGCATTTATTAAGAAATACCCTGCATCCGTAAAATGGGATTTTAAAAATAGCATTACTTAACATAAAAGTATTTTAAAAACACAACATAACTTAACATGAAAGTTGAATAAAAGGACAAGATTAAAAAAACACAGATAAGAGATTAAGATTAAAAATACAAATAAAAAACACAGAGAAATGTATATTAAAGTGACATTTTAAGATCACAAAGTATGATGATTAATTAATGTCTCTCTCTTAAATATCTCGATAACTGGGATTCTTTTTTTTCCTTAGCAACGGTTTTGAAGGAATTTTGGGAAAATTTCATCGACACAGAGGCCGGCTTTAAAATGCGACACGCAAGAGAACTAATGCGCGCAGATTTGTAGAACGTCGTCACGTAGTCTTCCGCATTCAAGTGCGCGGCGAAACAAGTTAATTAAGGGGACCACCCGCGGTAGCATCCTCGTTCCCTATCCTCAACGAGATTGGAAACGTGCCAAGTCCGGCACTTTCTCTCTTTCTCGAGGGTCGATTTGCCACTTCGCCCATATCGCCCGCAAGTGATTCAACGTCGAATCGACGGCTCCTGTTCTCGCAGCGATTTTCCCTTCTCTTTTTATCCTAGAGAAGTCACAAATAACATCTTCGTCTGATCACAGTTGATTAATTCATAAGATAAATGGAGAGAAAACGACCCGACATTTTATTAGATATCTTGGAATGAGAAAAACAGAGAGGGAAGATGTTTTACATAATTGTAAGAGAAACAAAACCCCAGCATCTCTGAAATTTCTTTTCCATCAGAATGTCTAGCAGACTCGGAAAAAAAAAATTCCCTGACTTCTTCACATTTTCCAGAGCCAAGAATTATTTTTTCTTGACCGACTTTTTAGTATTACTTGTTTCAAAATGCATACATCACTGCATTATAAGTCTATTAAATAATTGTCAATTCAATCAAAAGTCTGAATTTTTATCGAGAAACAAGTAGATTTTAAATAAGGCCCATTACTCAATATTAAAAGAAGTCTATTTTATTTGCTGGTAAAGTGAAAATATAAATTAAATATTATATAAATTAAATATAAATTAAATATAAATTAAATATAAATTAAATAGATAAATCGATTTTTAACAAAAACAGAAAATATGAGCAAAGATGAAGTTTAAAAAAAATGTTAAATGATATGAAAAAAAATCTAGAAAAATTGTAAGAAATATAAAATCCCTGACTTTTCTCTGACATTTTCAGAGTGAACTTATCCCCTGATAAATCACCTTTTTTCCAGATTTTCCTGACTAGGTACATCTCCACCTCTATTTCTATCTTTCATGTGCGATTTGAAGCTTGGTTTGAACTTTATGTGAGATATAGTCTTCCTCGCGTTAACTTCGTCTAAATTGTCCAATTACATAACGGGAGAATCCCGGTGAAGCAATGCAATGGCATCTCGATTTAGCATGATAGAACTCGATGCCATATTTTACGAGCTCGTAAAGCGAACGATTAAGACCGTGGGTCATCATCGATGCGCTACCGCGTCCCGTCGTAAAATTGCTGCCGGATTAAACACCATTTCACGGAGCCTGCCACGTCACGTTGTTATGTAACTCGAATGATGCCGGAAGTCTCACTTCTCTGAAGAATTTTCGAAACTTTAGGAGGGATTCGGTCTCCCTGTCGACATCAAAATTCTCTCGAAAATTGGAACCAACGATGACGAAACTCGAAGCGACGACTGCGAAACTCGGCTCTCATTATAATGCCTGGGCTAGATTAGCGCGGCAAAGTTCATTAAGTTTGCGGGCCGTGTGGGATCTGGGATGATAAATATTTATGTAGCACCGAAGGGGAAATGTGGGTTATGTTTGCATATCGCGCTCGCGGAAAGGACACTGCGAGCCGTCCCGTCGCGAATGCTATGGATCGAGAACGACGGGGGATACCCGCGATAAGGGAGTCCACTTCCTTCAAGAATTACGCATTTAGTTCGCCGCTTTTATCGCTCGCTCTCAGCCATTGACTCGCGTTAACCTACGTCACAAATGTCACGTTTGCCCTGTACACACGATTAGGATTGCACAAGACCCAAGACAAGACAATATTCATCAAAATATTGTATTGAAAATTTTGAAAAATTTAAATGTTGTCTTGGTCTCAAGTGAATATTAATAGCAAGAATCTCGTCTTGTATTGTCTTGTCTCGATTTTATTAACCATTTTTTATCTAATATTAAAAAATTATTTAAATAATATTTAATATAATTTTTGTAATATAATTTGAAATAATTATTACGATTGTATTATATTTTAATTCTAATTATTACTATGTAATCGATATAAATGCCGTCTATTTACATAAAAAAACATTTACTGTTTCATGGAAGACAGAAATTAATAACTATTTACAGGCTCCAAGGAAATGTGCAGATATAAATATTTTGGAGTGGTAAAAAAATCAGGTTCATATTTATCCCACATTGTCAAAAATGACTCGAGACATTTTAAGTTCAATTGCCTCGTCCGTGCCAGTAGAAAGACTTTTCTCAATAGGAACTCTGACTATGTCAAAAAATAGAACCAGATTACAAAGTAAATCTTTAAAAGCACTAATGTGCAATCAATTCCTGGGTGAAATGCTCTTTAATGTCTAAAATTTGCGAGTTTGATTTCTATTTTATAAAAATGTTATATTGTATTAATATTAAATGTTTTTAAATTTATTAATATAAATGTTTTTATTGAATTACAATTAGTTATAAGGGCTTATAGAGCAAGAAAACAGGTATATTACAGAAGTTTAATTATATCAAGATGTACATCAAAATAAGTCTATGTCGACGGTGACATTACAATAATACCGAAACGAGCAAAACATAAGTACGTTATTAAAGGCGAACGTTTCGATCGATTTTTCGATCCTCTTCAGCGCAATAATATAATGATAAATAAGACGAGTGAAAATTAACAGAATAATGAATTAAAATTGTGGTCTAATGAAACGCATTAAATGTGGTTGTCTGATAATGGCGCAATAAAATAATCGTCAATAAATAAGAATGAGAGCTGACAAAATTACAAGTTAAAAATTATGGTCTAATATACGCATTAATAAAAACAAAATGAAATCGGAAAAACTTTGTTATACTTAATTGCAGAGACATTGTTTTTATTGAGTAAAATTTTTTTAAATTCGTATATAGTGATTTTTTTTCATTTAGAAATATAAATATTTTAGTTTTTTTGAGAACCAATAATCTTGACACGACTAATAATCTTGACAGTCTTAGTCTTGATATTGTCTTGATCTTGTCTTGAACTAATTAAAAATCTTGTCTTGATCTTGTCTTGAAATTCAAGACAAGACAAGACAATATCAAGACTAATCTTGGTATCTCGTGCAACCCTACACACGATTATTAATCAATTGCGGAAACGATATTCTCTCCTTTCTTTTGCGTAAATATCTTTCCACCGAAAACTCCTTTTTCCTAAAAGAATTATTATTTTATTATTATTATTTATTATTATTTCATTATTATTATTTATTATTTATTATTTATTATTTATTATTATTATTTTATTATTATTATTTATTATTTCTCCTTTTATTATTTCTCGTTGTGTTTTCGCAGTCAAGATCGACAAGGTAAATCGAGCATCGATTATTAAATTGATGCGAGGTACACAAACTCTAAGAAATGATCGATGACGACATAATTATTAATCATCCCGTGCTTATCTCCGGCGTGTGATATCTCTTGGAAATCGTACGAGGAAGCGAATGTGCAATCGCCGATTGAGATACGAGGAAAAGCTCTCTCGAGGAGGAGAGATATACGATGGAAAAAAGTCTTTCCGTGAAATATACTTTCTTTTCCACCCTCTTTCTCCCCGATACTTATCGACAGCTTCGATTCCGATCGGACGATAAGCTCGTCGAGTCTTCAAAAGAGAGTTTTCCCGGAAGGACACTTATATAAGGCACGTATATAACCGGGATTCGCACGAGAGTAAAGGATCGCGCATCGAGAAATTCCGAGAATTCCGGGAATCCTGGCGTCTCCCTCGTCATTATGCGGGTAGCATCTGTATCCCCGCAGCTCTCGAATCTCGTCTTCGGAATGTCTCCAA